CGCCGTCGCCGTATTAAGTAGATCCTACCTCGGGGCCGCGCGGCCGTTTCAGTGCTGAGGTGCCCGGAAAGGCCGTTGGGTTGTTACCGGCTTTGCCCAGGGAGGTCTGGGTCGGTTTCCCTCAGGTTTGAGCCCTCCGCAGTTACTGGTGAGGTCTGAAAAACTGGTGTGCCCTTCCGTTTCGGCAGGGGAGTTCCCGAAAATGGGCCTCTAGCCTCTGGGAAGTAGGCTGCATGCGCATGTGTAATATATAGGATTTAATGTCTGCATATAGTACATCTGTTTTTGTAGTAGTGTCGTCTCTGTATTCCAGTTTTTCTCGTCTTGAATACTGAAATATGACAGTTTATAATAAGGTTATTCATTATTAAATTAAAAAAAAACCCTGCATTTTAGCTGTATTTGTAGCTAAAGAAAATAATGTTTATCTGTTGGAAGGCAGAAGAACTGAGAAATTTGGGGATCAACTAATAAATGAGATGATATGGGTTTGGTAATTGTAATAGATGCAGTTAGATTTTGGGACTGCTGTTGAAAGCTAATTCTCCCCTTTAATCTGTGGAACACGTTAGGGCAACTTTATTCATGATGGGAAGAACACAACTGAGCCTCTGTGCTAGTCAGGTGCACCTAGAATCCCGTTACATACAACTCTTGCCTTACTGATCGGTTCAGAACAATATATTAACTTCTGTTTAACAAGAGATGTCTTGTAATGTTTCAGAATCTGGTATCATGGATGGAGACACAGAGTGTAACAAAGGTAATGAAAGTTTGTGGTTTTTCTTTCTTTAAAAAAAAAAAAGTAATATTTGTGAATAACTTAAATCTCTCTCTCTTCTCCTCCCCCCACCCCACCTCAAGTTGAAGATGTTGTCGGCTGCCATGTTGAAGATGCTGTAACATTTTGGGCACAGGTGAATTCAGAAAACTGTTTGATTTTAAATAAAATGTCTAATCTTATCTCATTCCCCAGCGGCAGGCTTCTGTATAGGTAAGAATGATAATATTTGACATAAAAAAAAAAAAAAAGTTAATTTAGGTGTCTCAGAAGAACATAGTGTAGTATGGACTTGAACTTTTGAATATATGTTGAACTCAAGGATTATTTAGGATCCCTTTAAGCTGGGATCAGACAGTGTTTTCTGAAACGGTAAAAAGACTTGTTCATCATCCATCCATCCCTTTGAATTATAGCTGCGCTTTCTCAGATGTTCAGTTAGCCCTGTCCAAAAAGGGGAAGAAAAAAAAAAGGATTAAAATACTTGCTAATCCAAGAATACTGTTGGAGGCAACCCGCGTCCTGCTCGAAGTGGACCTCTAGCTATCTATAGCAGCTGAGCCTTTTGGTTATTTTTTTACCAAACTTGAGATGGCTCAAAGATACTAGATCCCTTCAGGTTTTGTGTAAATTGGCAGCAGGGTATTTGTGGTGGGGAGAAGAAGGACAGGGACTGAAAAGAAAAAATCAGTTACTTATATTAATGTGGGGGGGGGGTGGGCGGGGAGAGGAGGTAAGGGAAAGATCCAGGATGAGTCTACATCCTTACCTTTTCTGTTCAGTCTGCTAGCTAATAGGTGTGTATGTATTGGTCAACACCTGTGCGTCTTTAAACTGGTTGCAGGAGGTGCTACCTCTTGCCTTGTTGCTAATAAGGATTGGGAGACGGACCAAGCTTTGCTGGTTCTGTTTATGGAGCAACTTGTTCCCCTTCCCACCCCACCCCCAAGTGGGGGTGTTAGATCTGTTACTAATAATGTCTTCTGCAGGTTCTAACCTTGGCGCTCTGTAGGAAAAGGTAGAGTTTTATTTAATATTGTAATGTACAAAAGTTGTTCTCCACAGAAATACACTCCTAAAATTTTTAGTTACACTAGTGTTTTCTTTCCTGCTCTAAGCTCTCGATGGTTTGCTTTGAATTACAAGTACAGTAACATCTAATAAATGTCATGTTATGAAAACTGACCCAGTCTTGCAACAGTTCAGATACCAAGTTGTAATTGAAAAGGATCTGCTTCTTTCAACTAAACCAAAACACAAGTCTTGCAAGTAAGGAGAATGAGGGGTATGCCAGAGCTGTTGTCTCCTCATATTAAGAAGAGAAAGAAAAAGAACATCAAATACTAAAATTTGTGAGGAAGGATTGATAAGTAAGGTCTGCGTGCTTCCCACAACCTGGTAATTTAATTTAAAAATATTCTTTGCAAGCTGCTTCTCCAGGGTACATTACCTGCTCCCATCTCTCTTTTTTTTTTTTTTTTCATTTTTGAAAGAAAATGAGAACAGGCTTATAAATGCAACTAAAATTGTGAGGATAGAAAGCTTAAGGTGGGGTCTTACTTGTTTTAACAGCAGTATAAGTGTATTGATTTAATTTTTGGCTGTTAAAAGCCATCAAGCATCTATTAAAAGTGACAATTAATAACTCTTACCCTCTCTCCACACTTAGAATGTCAGTAGATGTAATGACCTCTTGAAATTAAGTTGCGCGCTGGCTGATGTTTGTCCCCGGGCTAATGCAATTTTTGGCAAGCCTGATTTTAGTAAGGTAAGTAGGCTGTGTATATGTGGAATTTGTTTTTCACCTGGATGTAAAAGCCTTTATTTTATGCAGCCATTTTTCTTAGGTATTTTCTTGATCTTTGCTTGACCTCTGGGTTTTATTCTCTCAAAGTCTTTGTGAGAACACCTGGCTTTTTTTTTTTTTTAAAAAAAAAAAAAAAGCTTATTTTGTCAGCAAGTTTAAATCTGTCCGCACTTCAGACTTAATTGAATTAAGTGTTGCACACTCAGGAAATGCTACAAGGAAGATTATGTACGAGTTCTGTCTTTTTATTTTGCATACATTATGGTTTGTCTTTAACAAGAGCAACGTTCTTTCGGACAGGTGATTCTTTTCTCTGTTCTTTTCTAAAAGTGCAGAAGATCTTTTGAAAACCTGTATTGTTTAGTATGCTGGGTAAAGTATTCTTAAGAATAACAAGTACCTATTTAATGGCAGTTCTATGATGAGGTAAGCATACAAATTGATAGCAACTTTTTTGTGTGTGTAAACTACTGATGACTTGTAATTCTTATTTTACAGCATTAGTCACCTTGTTTTTGAACTGTAAGTGCGTGCAGGCATATCACCTGTGTTTATATGAAAAAGAAAAACTTTCTGGGTTTGCTGGTTGTGACGTGACTGACCTCTTCCTCTGGCTTCTGAACTGTCACTGTCAAAATGTTGTAGCACCACATATGTAATAAAATATGTGTGAATCTACCACGTAAACTTTTAGTGCATTTTATTTGCAAAATTTTCTTCAAGATAGTATTTTTAGTGTAGAGTTTTTAGCCTTTTTAAAGCATCTAGCATATGCTGTTATGAGAGATGGGATATTAAAAGGACTACTTTGTTTTGCTACTGCTCTTGTGGTAATTAGAAAAGATTGTGAAAATAAGATTTGTGATGTATTATGAATATTATTTTGAGGTGTGCTTATGTTTTCAGAATGCTATTCCATTTTTTTTCCTGATTTCCAGATATATGGTGGGTGTTTTTCTGAAGATGGATGTTGGTACAGGTGTACAGTACAGCAAGTGATCAACGATGAAAAGGCAGGAACTATGTTTTTGTGTAGTCCTTACTCCTATATCACCTCTACATGTGGGAGGGTAGGAAAAAACCCAACTCCTCCCTCTGTTTTTGAAACTCATTGTCTAAATATGTTTAGAATCAGTGAATATGCACGTGTGGCACAAATTCAAGTGACCTGTCATTTTGAAAGCTACTAATGAGACTGGCAAAACACGACAGACTTCTGAAGTGCTGTGTATATCTCTTTATCAAGAGATATGCACTTGATAGTTAACGTTGTTGTTAAACAGTGTAATTTAATGTCAAAACTTAAGGGATCTGAAAATGACAGACTTTGTGTGTGACTGGTAAAATATACTGAAATGTTAGTGCTGGTTGTTTCTGAAAGGATTCTGTGGTCTTAGGTGATTGACACAAAAGGCCAGTAGTTCCAATTTAAAATGGTAACTTCTAAATGGGCTTGTTGATACAAAAACTATGTATCATATCTCTCCTTTGAAGAGAATCCTCTATATTGATTTATAATCCTAATTCTTTAAAAAAAAAAAAAGTGAAAATCTATTTTATCACTGGAAAATGTTTGGTTGCTATGTTTTTAGACAGGTGCGGATTTGAGTTTTCCCTGACTCAGTTCCTTTCTCTGAAGGGTGTTCCAGGTTTAGTGTGAAAGGTTCTAATCTGTGCTTCTAAGGTGATAGTGCAGCATGCATGTATTTTTTAAATGCTTCTATTCTAATAGTTGTCAGCACGTATTGCTGTAGAAGGTTTGTGTAGCCACTGCTTATTTATTTTATATCGTTGTTGCAGTGTCAGGTATTGTACATTGATTATGGAAATTCTGAGATTCTAAACAGATCAGAAATAGTTGAAATTCCAGCGAACTTGCAATGTCCGAGTGTTGCCAAGAAGTACAAACTCTGGGGACTGCAGATACCGATGGATCAAAACTTAAACATGTTTGACCAGGTGAGTTACAGGTTTTGAAGCGTTTAGGTGATGAGCTGTGCAACGGATAATGCCAAGTATCAGCACAGTGTCGCTGAAGACTCTTGTAAGAGTTGGCTGCTTAACTGTGAAGGCAAGATATGATGGGAAATACTGTCTGATCTCTTGCCCTTAATATGCTCTAGAAACTGAAATGGTTTTCTCAAAAACTGGTTCAGACTGTCAGGGAGGTGATTTTAGAGTACATTCTTAGAGTCTTTGGAGCCTCAGGTTTATTTCTGACTTTAGTTCTTTCTGACACTGTATCTCTCTTTATCCCCCTCGAGGGGGAAAAATACCTTCTTAGGTCACGGACGTTACGGTAAATACGCTTACAAGTGTGAGCTTCTCATAGGCTGTGTGCTTAGATACCATACAAAATTTTGGGTGAGTAGAAAGAACGGTAGCAACGTTTTCAGCCCCTGTCTGTAGCAAATGTAAAAGGCTCAAGAGTTGATACCAATGTGATTGATAAAAACTCAGAGCCTTTCTGAGTGGCATTGGTGACCAGGGTGCCCTTTTGGTCCCCTTTCACTAGTGGTCATCTTTTCCTGGACACCGCTCACTTTACGGTCTTTAGTGCTTGCTTCCTCTGACCTATTACTGGTGAGGTGCCTGCCTTACCAGCTGGTCACTTGGGATCAGCAGCCGCCAGAGGAGGCAGCTGTGGTAGGAAGGGGCAGTCATACTTCCCCTTTGGATCCCTGTGCTGTTCAAAGAGAACCTAAGACGTATACCCCTTTTGCATGGTCTCTTTCTTATGGTTCTGTTAACATTGCTTAATGCAATTAGTTAGGTGAAAATCTGTTTTCAGGGGGTGTGTGGGGCTTTTTTTTTTTTTTTTGCTAGTACTTATTGCTTCAGGTGAAATTTTTATTTGCTTGCTCTACGTTGTCTAAAACTGTACCCGTTTCCTGCCCTGTCCTCCTCTCCCCACCCCCATTCTTAGTTTTCAGCAAAATCGACGTGTTTTCAGAAATAGTTGAGTGAAAAGGGGGAGAAAAAACTGTTAGTAAAAGCTGCTTTCTCCAAGGTGTTTTTTTGAAGATCTGGAGTGTGTTCCTCAGTCTTTGAAGTCTCTCTTTCATTGATGTTACTAATGAAACTGACAGCTTCAATTCTGATGCTTCCCTAATTTCTGAATGAGTGGTTTCAGTTCGGACATGATAAATGTACATGATAGTTCCTTTGTGTTTGTGTTCTTTTTCCACTACTTAACAATTTTAAATTAGCTTTGGGCTATTTCAGCTTTATTTCAGTTGAAGATATATAATGAAATGAACACCGCATCCATCTTGATCTTTCACTTAAAATTTCTTGCTTAACATTGGAGCCTGATAAAATTTTCATGCTATTTTGTGTAATACATTAAGAGCCTTTAATTAGTACTGTTAAATAATTGCTCTAGATCCTCAAAAAGACTTAAGATAACCAGATTGCCAACTTCCACTGAGGATTGGTAGGATTTTGAGCTTTCGCCTGTTGGTGATACTGAGCTCTGGAACATTGAACAGTGAGGGAGAACTACTGGTGCTGATGTCCAGTCTAGCATTGACAGGGATTAGATCAGGTACAGCTGTAGCTGTACAGATACAGCATTGGTTCAGAATAAACAGTAAATGTAAGAAGCTTTAGCTGTGCAGCTCTTTGGATTCCCCCCTCCTCCCTTCCTTCCTCTCCTCCCTGGGGAGGAGAAAGGTGGTTGATTTCAGCTATTCACAGTGGCTGATGCACAACTTAAGTGTGTTTTATTTTACAGGGGAAGAAGTTCTTGGGGAGCCTGGTTTTTGAAAAAGAAATAAAAATACGACACAAAGCTAAGCGTGAGGATGGTACCATCATTGTCCAAGCGGAATATGAAAAAACAGATATTGGAGAAGAGGTAGCTAAGACAGGGTTTGCTGAAAGATGCAGATCTCCAGTAAACGCTAAAAGTGGAGAAGAGAAGAAAGCAGATCTCATGCAAAACCATCCCTGGAATATAAAAGTTCCAGTTCCTCTGTGGATAAACAGATCTGATCATCCCCTCAGCAGACCAAGAGGGCGCTTTGAGCACATAGTTGCCAGTGCAAGGAATGAGAATTTTACTGGAAGCCGTATGTTTGTCACCAAGTAAGGCAATGGGATATCATGGATAAGTCTGTGTGTGTGTGTGTGGGCTGGTTAGTGTCAGCTGATCAACTGGAGTTTGTGCTTCTGAGGAGATGGAGGGGGAAGTGAACATCTGAAATACAAAGCTGAATTTCTCTCATTCTAGTATCACATAGTAGTGGTACTCAGTGGAAGCAAAGCACGTGTGTGCGGTGATGGGAATTAGGACATCAATCTGTAGAAAACCAGTTCATTAGTTTTGTTGCTCTTTAGGTAGTCTGCCCTTCCTCATTGTTTTCTAGAGACATACTCTTACATATCTTAACAGATTTTGAGAAAGAAGGAAGGAGTAACGACTCTACTGCATCTTCTCATCTGCCTAAAAGCATAGTTGGAGGTGAAGGTTGCAGGACATCAGGCCTGTGAAAAGATTTTTTTTTTTTTTTGGTGATAGACAGCAGTGGTTGTTTAAACCTCTGTGTAATAAGCACGTTCTTGAGACTCTATACAGCTAGCCTCTGTTTATTTACCTGTATTAAAAACCTTACTGGACACAAACGTGGAACATAAAAGCACACTTACCTGGCAGGACAAACATATTTTGGTTATTTATTTGTGTAGGAGTGTAACAGTATGTGCTTATAAGAAATAAAGTCAGCAGTCACAGTTGGAAGTAAGCTTTAGAGCATAATGTTGTCTCTTCCACTTATAATTACACTGAAAATAGGCGGTGGTAAGTTGGCAGTTACAGTTGTCAGAAATCTTTAAAAAGACTTTTCCTATGGTTGCTAGGATTGTCATGGCAACAGGCTGCTGAGAAAAATGTTGTGGGTGGGAAAGATGGTGCTTGGCATTCAGAGAGAAAGATTGGTATAAGAAATAATATTCCTTTTAAAAAAAAAAAAAAAAAACACCAAAACCCCAAACCACTGGTTTAGAATTTGCCAGTGTTCCATAACTTGAACGTTTTAATGAAACATGAGTGCATACCTTTCCACATACTAGAATGGCTTTCAGATTTGTGTTGCAATTAGATCAGTTAGGCAAGTCTATGCTCTTAACAAGTAGCTAACACAAAATGAGATGCTTAAAAAAAAAAGTTTGTAGTAAAAATTTATAGTAAAATGTGTCATGCTGAATTATTTTTGAATCTGGCCTCTTTTCTGAATTCTGGAGATGCTCTGAATCTGATTTAAAGAAGAAAATCTTTTTTCTTTGTTTTGCTCTGTGTTGCAATTGCGTTATACACCAAGATATCCAAGACTGGCCTGTGTGGCTGGCAGCCAGCAGATCCGCTGTTCCATCTGAGACTTCTAGTGTCCTTTAACTTTTTACACATTGCAGCACTTCTTAGGAAGGCATGTCCGTGAAGGAAACGGGGACGCAAAGAAGCAATGGTATACCTGAAGCCGTGCATGTGAGGGTGAAGTTGGTGTGGGGTCTAGTGAAGCATTGAATAGTATGCTGTGACAAACTGCTGTGTCTGTTTATTTAAAAAAAAAAAAAAAAAACCTTTTATTTTGTAGATCCCAAACCCCAGCTTTAAAGTAGTGCTCTGGCCTATTTCTTAGATAGAAAATTTTGAGTTACAGTGAACCTTGATAACTTTTTTTTTCCTTCTGCCCTTGGGCTGCAGTGTGGTATAGTGAGATGTTTTTTGGATAGAAAATAAATTTTGTTTAAAATGAATGTGAAAGTATGTAAAGGATTGACTTCAAATGAAATCTTTCTCTCTTTTTTTGAACATTTTTTTCTTCATCCCCAGTGTTGTGTATCAGTTTTTGTGATACTCTATGTATTCCACAGCTTCAGTTGTATGGAGTGGACAGGGATACAAATTTGGAAGGAGTAAAATGTGATTGTGTAGATGTTCATATAGCAATTTTGATATGGGGTTCTGTAATAGTTCAAATTACTATAGAATGAAAGATTGTATTTTTTTTTTTAGTTCCTCTTAATTCTCTTTTAAAAGGGAAAAAATGCTAGCTTCTGGCTCAGTGTCGGACAGCAGTTTGGAAAAAATAAGAAAAGATCAGAAGCTGATTGAAGAGAATGAAAAGCTTAAAGTGGAGAAAGAAGTTCTCAGAAAGGAGAATGAAAATCTCCTACAGAGGCAGAAGGAACTAGAGCTGAAGGTTGAGCAGCTGAAGCGTGAACTTCAGGTATATGGAAATGTGTGTGCAAAACAAAAGGGTGGGGAGGGGAAAACCATTTCAAAATGCTTCTGTCCTGTAGTTTCATCGTACTGCAGTTCAAGGCCGTACACTGTTGTCCCGTTTGGAATATGGCAGGACTGAACCAGCGGAGTGAATGTTTTGACTTTCCTTAGTGCAGGGAGGTGGTTTGTGACCACATTTTGCGTTACAGTCCAAGTTGGGCCCCAGCTCCCCTGGGTGCATTCACTGGCTTGTCGCCACCCTACTGATGCAGTTGCTTGTTTGGAACTAGCTGTTCAGTGCGAACTCAGTTTTGTGCTGTGTGATTTAAAAATGTGCTTTGTGTATAAGGATGTATTCCTTCATCTCTTTTTCTACCTTAGAGGTTAAAACAACTTTCAGTCTCTTGGGCTGAAAACTATTAAGCATCACTGAGTCATAGCGGCTGTTGAATTGTAGAACTGGATGAAAATGATTAGTTTATTAATTCTTGCTTAATAAAAAAGATGCAGATATCAGATGCATATTATTCTTTACAGTGGCAGCTTTTAACACTAGCAGAGAAGCACAATACTTAGTAAATAGGCTTAAAAATGTCTTGTACAGTTTTAAGGCTAATAAATGACAGTAAGAGATTGTGGTGTGCAAGGGTGTTTTGTTTGTATTGATTTGAGAATAAGACTTGTGCAAACTCTTGCATCTCTGTCTCTGCTGTTAAGAAAGGAACACCTACCATTGTGTAAATTGGTTTGACACCCCAAAAACTGAACTTGCACAGAGCTTTTTTTCTTTCTTATTGGAATAAAACTATTCATAACCAGCTTGGCTACTCAGTTGCCTCTACTTAAAACAGCTGTGTTTCTGCGTATACTAACCTGTCATTGCACAGCTTCTTCATCAGCTAAAGATGCCATGTTTGTGCAATTCTCTGCAAGCTAAAGTAAAAAGCAACAAAACACATGTCTGGAGCTATGAAGAGTTACTTGAATGCAAGGAATTCTTAGAAGCATTTCTTGTCTGTATTCTGAGTCGGGGTGTTTGTGTGTACTAGTGTGTTTTGTTTTTGTTTTTTGACTGTTTCCTAAAATGGTTAATGATATTTCTTCGTGTTGACTGCAAGTAAACTGTTTTAGAAGAAAAGGTTGTGAATATTATTTTAAGTATGAAAGTTTTTTTCCTCCCATGATTGCGCATAGGGTGAAGTGTGTGTGTGTGTTTTTTTTCCTCTTATTTTAATTTTAATTTTTTAGCGAGGAGTGATGATGTGTTTCAGAAGGGTTAGGTACTTTTTTTAATCTGAGGAGTAATTCTAAAAGGAGGAGGGAAGAAAAAGAGGACCTGCAGTCATGAGACTTTGGGTGCAAAACCATTAAAAAAAAAAAAAGTTTAAATCCTTCTATGTGTGGGTATGTTTTGGTGGTGGGTTTTTTTTTTTTGAGGTGATAAGTCTGGAAGGCCAATAAAACCTAAGGATGATTATTGTTATTACTATTTTTTTTTCCATCCCCTAAAATGGAGTTTGTGAAAGCACTTCAGTGGTGTGTGAACAAGTGCTTTTAACTTTAAGTTGTACCTGGAGGAATACAGCCTAATGAGTGGGTGTTTTACTTGTTTGCTTGGTGGTGGTTTTTTTTTTTTTTTTTTTACTGCCTTAAATTCTTTGTGAGAAGATAAGGCTGGTTGTTAACACAGCGAGAGTTCGTGCTACAGCACTCTGAGATGTAGCAGTTATGAGAGCAAGGAGGTTGAGATCCTGGGACTTCATTTACCTGTATTAACAAGTAGGAGTTCCTCAGTGAGGAAGGGAAGAGGGGGGGAAAAAAAAAAACTTCTGAAAACTTGTGAGCCATTAGTGGTGTAATGGACAAAATACAAAAGTGATACTCGTCTGAACATATTGCTACTGAAGTGAGAAGAAAGAAATGAACCATTAACCTTTAAAAAGCTGTTTAAAAAAATTCTCATTGTTTTATCTCTATTTCTAGTCATTTTGTTGGTGACTCAAAGATGCTCTTTTCTATCTCTAGTTTTTAAAAGTCTAACTTATGATCTGTATGTTAGTGACCCTGGCTGCCCAATGATCCCTCTTAATATATTTCTTTACTGAAACTTCCTCTAAAATTGAAAAAACAATTCAGGAAGAGAAGGAAGCATCCAGGGAAACTGCTGAACGTTTTGAGGAAACCCTGAGTAAATATATGGGAACAAAATTGAGAAGTTTGGCTGCTAATGTGAAGGTACTGAAAGAAATTAGGTATGTATTTTTTTTCTATTTGTTTCTAAAATAGAACTATATGTCATTGGCCTATTTCTCTCTTGAAACCGTTGCATGCTTTTTGTTTCCCAGTTAGTTTTTCAAGAAAAAATGCAACATTATTTTTTTTCTGCTGCTTTCTTTTTTCAAAATGTATACAGAGTTTGGGACTGTTTCCCAATACCATGGCTGAAACCTGATTTTTCTGTGACATTGGCATTTGCATTGCCTGCTTCTGAATGTTCGTGAGATGACTCCTGCTTCTTTCCCGCAGCTGTTGTGAGAAGAGCTTTCAGTTCCAGCCTCAAGGAAGATGCTTATTAATTAAATGCAGCTAGTTTTTAAAAGTAGCTGGGCAGTTAGAGTCCCTTTGGTACCTAGATTGCTGAGAAAGGCATATCTCATTTCCTAGTCCAAACTACCCTTCAGTTTTAAGAGAAGGGGCAAAATTGCAGTGGGGGGAAGACTTGGCGTAGAAATGATTATCGACTCCTTTAAGAGGAAATATCTTTTTTCTGGTAGAGATGAGCGCTTTTCCAAAAGATGATTGTATTAAGGTATATACATCTGCAGGAGAACAAAACAAAACCCCCAAACAATCAAAACCCCCAGAACATAGGAGGAAATGAGACAATAGGAAAAGTAAGAGCAAGAGAGACAACATGCTTATACAGCCTCATCAATACTGAGCTGTTACGAATGTATTCTTGTTGCTTCCTTCTTTCCCCTCAGAAAGGGATTTAAGAGAACTGAAGGAGGTAGATTGCTGCTAGCACCTGCCATGTTAATAGCCTAGTTTCTTTCAAAAAGTAGTATCTTAAAATAGATATGTACAATAGGTCTGAATAGCGTTGACTTTTAAAATGCTTGTTCTGGAAAAAAATATTTTGCAGGTAAGATATTGTTTCCTCCTTACAATTTAGGCGCACAAATAAGAATACTCGTTTTGGGGAGGACCTCTCACAAGCTATAGAAGTGGTCACAGAAGGATGTCTCACTGTTCCGTGTTCCTTGGAAAAATTGCAGAAGATTTGGGTGGAGTATGACTTGGCTCAAGAGATGATTCAGTTGTGCAAAAATGTGGTAGGTCGTGATTATTTTTGCATCACGAACTATAATTTAACAGCTATTGACAGTATTTTAGTCTCATAAGTGTAGCTGGATATCATGAGCACAGAAAAATCTGCCCTTTGTTAGGTAATGTTGGAGGCTTTGCTATATTTGCCGGCAACTGGTATATGAATGGAATGCTATTTTCAGTTAACTGTAGGCTTTTTTATGCCCTTGATTTGTAACGATACGGACATCAGAATGTGGTAGCTAAGGGATTACTGTGCTGTAATATTTAGAAATCACTTCAGCTGTGAACTGCAGTGTCTATGTTGAAGACCTTTTTAGAGCAGCATGCCAGTACTTAGTAAGTGCCCTCCACCTGTGGGAAGGGCAGTCTGCAGTTTCGGAGTTGGAGAGGAAGACAGGCTTGTATAGGGGAAAGCTGCCATCTAGTGTAGCTTCTCTGCAACAACTGATCTGAAAAAGCCCGCCTGTGTAATGAGAAAAGTGATGAATATATACCGCATCTTCCACATACCTGAAAGACAGGTGCTTTTGAGAGTGGGAAGGTTTCTCGGTCTGACAGGCATTGTGGAAAGGCAGAGAAGAGAAGGTAGATGTGATCTGGGAAAAAGATAGCAAATGCATAGTGAAATTTTGAAGTATAACCTAAAATGTTTTCGGTATGTTTGCTTAAGGAGTATTGTTGTATTACACCAATTTAGTAGTTTGTGAAATGGAGTAGAAAATCAGTAATGAAGAGACTCATGGAGAGAAAAGTAGTAAAATCTATAATGTGGCATATATTTGGTTGTTGTAGGTGACTAAGGATTCTTTTTATTTACTAAAACTTAAGTCAAATGTTTAAACTTGAAAACATTAAGATAATACCGTTAACAAACATGTAACGTTTTGGCGTTGTCTTATATAGGGAAGTAAAATACAGGAAGAGAATAGCTAGATTGTGAGATATCTGGGAGCCCGGGGTAGTATTTTGCAGCAGAGCATGTTTGCAGGGCCTGGGTTAGGCTTAAGGATTCATTTAAACAGGCTTTCCTTGGGTGAATTCCTGATCCTGCATGAAATGGTAGCGACTGGGATCTCTAAAAGATCCCAATGGGATAATCGAGCTTAAGCAGATTTGTAAGCCTTGGTGAGCAGCAGTGGACCAGTAAAGCGAAGATCTGCTTCCAGGAGCAAAACTTGAGCTGTAGCCATCTTAGAATTCATTTTCAAACGTAATCCAGTTTTGCTCTGACTTAATTAGGTTGGAGGTAGAGAGGAAGAAAAAGCTTAATCTGAACAAGTTAGGACAGATGCGGTGACATGACTGAGGAGTCTCAGCATGTTTATTCAGCATGGGAAATAATTACTCTGTCACTCAGGAGCCACTCTTTTTGCCAGCTTTTTCTGGGGCAGTGGGGAGGGAGAGGAAGGAGGATGTCAGACCCAGCAGACAAAATATCAATCTCTGTCTTGGAGTGTGTTTGAGGATTTTCTGATGGACTGATTTGATGGACTGTATTAGACATAATGTTGATGTTCCCATTTCTTCTTGCTATGAATGACTAACAGTAAAGTCATGTCTGCTTGGTGTGGTGTAGTACACTGTGTTTGTTAAAAGCAGTTGAAATAGCACCACAGCCTCATTTCAATACTATGCCGCCTTTGGTAGCTCAACATGTTTGTGTAGCTCTGCATTTTGTATTAGATGGCCTCACATACAGCCTGAAAACTAATTTTCCTTAATAATTAGCAGCAACCCCTTCCCCTCTCCCCATTTTGATGTTGTTCCTCATTGCACAGGATCTTGCTGAGGTGTAAAGAAATGGTGATGTGAAATCTTATGATCGTTCAAGAGCATGCCATCACTCTTCAAAATTCCTACTCTCTGAACAGAGCAAGCTGTCATGGTAGTGTCACAAGTATTTTAAACAGGAAAAAATAGAGTAGACAGGAATTCTGGTAGGTGCCAAGTAGTCCCCAGAGTACCTGCGAACAGCAAAGGGCATATGAGTGGCAATGTTTGTTTAAGTGTAGGGCTGCCTGAGGAATTAATTTAGTTTTCAAGATGAAGTAGTAGCAGCTGGAAGCAGGACATTTTGTGGTGCTTGCGGAATCTGTCTAAAGCACTCTGAAATCTTTGGGAGGTGAAGTCAATAGAACATGAGTTCTAGCATGGTGCTGGAGTGACTATAGTTAACCTGAACTAAGGATGGAGTTTCTATGAGAAGGGTTGTCCTATTTTTAATAGGCAGTGTAGTGACACAACTTTTTTTTTTCCCTTTTTTTCCTGAGGATCTCTGATTTTTTTTTTAACTATTTTTTTCAAGTGCTGTAATGTGTCCCATAACCTTAGCTATCGTATTTTCAAATGCAAGAGATGTCTAAGAGGCACACAGTAAAATGCTGGGCTTGTTTTTCTTCTTGTCATCCCTACTTAGATTATATTGATTGTAGATACATTAACAAATCCTAGTAGTGCAACCAAATATATTGGAGTCGCTGACTTCATGTCCTAGTCAGTTAAAACGAGGTACATACGAATCCAGTGTTTAAGAAACCCAGTGTACCCAAATAGATGGATGAAACAGCTGGCTGTTAAAGTTTAACAGACCGTTTTAACTGTTTGCTTTATGTGTCAACTTAGCTGTCAGAATTTGTTTTACTAAGTTAAATCTTGCTATTCACTTGTCTTAAGTCATATGATCTTCCTTTAACCTTCCTAGAGTGTTGATGCTCTCTCTCACTGTCACAAGTCTCACTTGTTTGTAAGTTCTTGGGAGTGAACATCTTGTCTTGCTTTGGGAGAAACCTAACGTACCTTGATGTCACAGGCGTGAGCAGACCCAATAAAGTTTGAATGCAGAGTAAATGGTGTTACCTCCATCATTCCAAAAAGGAAAATAAATGAATGGAGCATTTGTTCTTAAATAGGATATTTATGTAATGGATGTGTTGGTAGCTTAAGAAGATAATCAGTGAACTGAGGTGGTAGTAGAACATAGTTTGCATTATCTAAGAGAGAGAGAAAGAGAGAGTTCTTCTTTCCAGAGTAGAACTGCTTATAAATATATTCCAAATTAATCAAATTCTGATCAAAAATCCTGTCCCAAATAGGAAGGGTTGTGTTATTGGTCACCTGACCAGCTGTCCTATGAAACTTTATTGATAGGGTGGCAGCTTTATAGGTGAAAAACCAGGGATAATTAGAAATTTCCCTGATTGCATGTAGGCAGATAATCATAACAACAAGATGCAATACAAATAACGTATTTACAGTGTTGTAGGTGGTGTTTTATGGATACATGTTGCTTGACTTTTAGGATCTATATTTAAAAACTGGTTCAAGATTGACATTGTGAGAGACTGTAGTGTACACATATTAAGCATTTTTGGGGGAAAGCTGAAAAGGTCCATGCTGCTGTTTAGAAAAGAAACTATTTGGTGCCCTCATTTAAAAGAAAAAAGAAGGGGGGGGAGAGGAAATGGAGGTGTTTAGCTTTAGTATCAGCACCCTCATTAGTTTTAACTGTTTTGTGTACTGCACATTGGAATTTGTTAACTTGCACTGAAGAGAGCTAAAAATTGAGGCCAGAAGTAGAAATATGCTCAAAATGGGAACGTCCATGGAGGGGGTAGATATATTGATGGCTTTAAATATGGTATTTTGGATGCATTTTTCTCTTGCTTGTGGGGTTGTTAAATCACACTAAAGCAAAAATACACCTTTGAGATGATTGTACCGTACATACCCTCCTCTTGCACTTTTTCACGTATGTGCTGTATTTCTTAGAAACGAGGCACTGAGCTGGCTTGGCATTCACTGTGAGCCAGTGCAGTGGTTGTGGCGTGGGGAGTTTTGTTTTGTTTGAGAGATAAAAGACCAGATACAAAATACAGCTGTATTTTGTAGGTGTAGTTAGAAAAGTCTTTAGCCTATTTTAAGGAAGGATGATGAATGGTGCTTACTGAAATTCTACTGTTTGCTGTTATAATGAGCTTGCATCTTTGTAATGTAGGCTTTTAAAATACTGTCTGTGTATTTAATGTTCTCTGAAGTTCTCATCTTACAGGTATTCGGTGAGGTAGGAATTGTTGAAGGTACCCAGTTAAATGGCAGACGTTCCAAGAAGACTAGTGCTGTGGCTGCTGAGCCATCTGTTGAATTCCCAATTTAACGTTCAGGCTTGCGTAGACTGTTGAATTTAGCCCTGACGCTTAAACTGGTATGCGCTGGAGTTTGGTTGCCTGGTTGAATCTTTTACTATGTTAAGTCTCTATTGCTCTGTCTTTTGAAGTAGTATTTTAGAAAAATATGTCTTGGTAAGTGTTTTTCATGTCAACGAGTTCTTGGTGTTTTTTTTGTGTTTTTTTTTTTTTTTAGATGCAATGTGTTACAGTGTTCTCTTTACAAGCTACTTCTTGTCTTATGAGGACAAAACCGCAGAAGGTTTATAAAAAAATTTTGTATACTTTTGGCCACCAGAGATGTCCACCAAGTGCAGAAGTGCTTATTAAATCAATTTTTTTTTTTGTTCTGCGTTTTTAAATGCAGAAACAATACTTAAATTCACCTGGCATAGTAGAACTTAATCCACTGTTTTTTTATTATCTAATCCATTAATGTGTGGGAGAACTCTACAACATCTGTTAAATTGCTGATCTGGGTTTTATATCCCCTTGTATGCTGCGGCTTGGGGTTTTTCTTTTAGTTGCAGTTTTATCTTTCAGTTTCCAGCCACTGATCTCATTCTGTCCTTTCTGTTAGACTCAAAAGATTTCTAGTCTACCTTACGTGGTTATTCAGGAGCTGATTTAGTGAATGTCTAAGCTTTCACTGCACAAACTAAACTTACGCTTATATGATCAGAGACTTTTGTGTATGTATACAGATTTTAATTTTTTTATTTTTATTTTTTTGTACACTCTTTTGTCAGGACACTGTTAAAGCTACCTGACTCATCTTGTTTACCTTTTTGGGGATCTGAGTCTTTACAACAGGTCTATAAAGCTGTAGTTTAGTTTTTCCTGTTTGTATACATATCTTCATACTTCTGTTGGCATGTTGAGTTAAGAGAATGCTGAAAACTTGTTTTTGCATATAGGTTTTAACTTCCTCTACTCAATCAGGACGTTTAGTTTTGGTGAGTCTGATATGTAACTTACCTGATGTGAACGTGGGGTTCTTCTCCCATTAACAGAACTAACCAGTCGTCTGTAGGAAACTTCATTTTTTGTTTCTAGAAAACTACCTTTAGTTTAATAATCTTGCTGCAGATAATCAGCAGGGAGTTGACAAGTCACTTGTCTCTCCTGCTACAAGGTAAGGAAGAAATTGGTTAAAGGTCTTTTCGTTCCAGAATTTCCTTCTCCAACAGGGAAGATTTGCAGTCTGACTTTGTGCGTATAATCTGCTATGCACAGAAGTGTGTGTAATTCAAATTCTAAATTCGGTAATACAAATTATAATTTCAGGACAACTGGGAAGCTTTTAATAGCAGTAGTTAGGACTCCACTGTTCACAAACTCAGTCATGCAAAAACTGCTTCTTTAGTTCTGATGATGTAGTCATACTTACACTGTGAAGGGTTCAGTAGTTGTGCAAGGTCATTATGTCACAGGAGCAGAGGGTAGAGGCGAATTTATTCTCACTTTTCATTCCTAGTCAGGTCTGTATTTTAGTATTCATACTTTGCTAGGAGTTGCACTTCCTTCTGCCTTTCCACCCCCCCCCCCCCAGCCTCTGGCTGTGTTTTGCCTGTGCATGGTGTTTGGGTGTGATCTGCTGACTTCTTCTTCCTTTAACATAGGATGAAAGAGATGAATTGATTATCAAGAGAGATGAGGTCCAGGATAATTTATATTCTGCAGTGGAAGAATTAATTTTGGAAGTGGATCAACTGTCTCTCTCTGAGCGCTCAAGAACATTGCAGGTAGGGAATGAGCATTCATGGTTATTGATTCTTAAAACACTGAGAACCTGTGGGGGGTGTTTCTTAAATGTAAATGTTTTATAGTTGGAGACCTCAACAGCGGTAGATGAAGGCTTTTATATCATGTTTCTGAGGTAAATTGTACATCCGACATCTGTACTTCCTCAGTGTTACTTGTGATCTTGGTTTCCTAGATATTTTATTTCTTGAGGCAAAATGTTATAATTTCTCATCTAGATCTTGAATTTAGCCAATAGTTTGTACTGTGTTTGGTGATTAACAAGGCTTCACAAAGCACAGAATACTCAAGGTAAGGTGGAAACATTAAGGATAAAATCTACAGTTAAAAAGTCAGAGGCAGTCACCCTGTGAATTGTGACGCTGCGTTTTGTGGTTGGATTATACTCCATCCTGTTTCTTTCTGTTAAGACGTTGGTGTTGTTTGAACCCCGTATAAAATGTGTAAAGTGTTTGTCTATGATGTGAGTTGCACACTGTAGAAGCATGTGTTTATGCCAAGAGTCTCTCCCTCCCAGCCCCTCACCAGCAGAAAGAGGGGACATAGGTGCGTAAGACTCTGTAGAGACAATCAGGATTTTTGCAAAGCACTTGAACAATGACAAATACTACCAAACCAGTGTTTCTGGTCTCTTTAAATTCAAAGTAATGTCTTCCTCCTCCTAAATTCAGAAATATTACTTGCTTTTATTTTGACTGTGCAAGTGTGCATGGGCAGGGAGGAAGGTAGTCACAGTTTAACAGCTTGTCTGTACAAATTCCACAATTTTAGTTACCCACACATACACAAGATTGGTTCTTATGAGCAACACTGGTTTTAACGCTTGTTTGCTGCTTCCATACAGCAGTTTTGAAGTTGTAGCTGCAGCTTAGTCCAATCTTACCACCTGTGAACGGTAGAATACCAGTTTCCTTTGTGCTCTTGGGACATAGGTCTGGTGTGTGTATGTGTGTGTGGTTTTTTTTTTGTTTTTTTTTGTTTTTTTTCTGAACCTCTGGAATTTGTTCTCTGTGGCTCCGGATTTACTTTCTTGCTTTAGTCTGTTGGCCCAGTATTCTCCCCAGAAAAAGAAAGCATAACTGAAGGCTTGCTAATGGCCTGTTCCAGGCTCTTTGGTTTGAGAATAGCCTGTACAGTGGCTTCAAAAGTGATACTGAACTGTAACCACTTTTAATTTCTGTGTTTTTTTGCCTTCTAAAGTGTAAATAGCTTAATTTTGGTAGAGCCTATTACCACTATGGTCTGGTGGTGTCAAGAAGGGAGGAGGCGCACCAGTGTGTAGGTGTGTGTGTGACTCTGCTTCCAGTTGTCTTGAGTCCCTTTATGGAAGATGTGTCTCTGGGACTTGGAGCTATTCCTTCACTCAAGGATGAACTAACACTGATCGCCCTTTCACCTTGGAAGGCACCTGGGCCACTGTCTGCTTGGCCAAGTCTGCCTTTTGCTGTCTGCCTCACTGTGCAGAATGCTCCTACTGTGCTTCCTGCCCTGGTCATACAATACAAAAGCTGCTTCCTTCACTGGCCAGTTCTCTTTGCAGGTCACTGTGGGTATCTCCTTTGCTGGAGCACTAGCTGATAGTCTCAAGACTTCTGCTAGTCCTGACTGTACCACAGCAATTGCAGTGTAGATGTGGTATCATGCATGAATCTTTCATCCCTATGAGCAGGATTCTGTTGTTTTTCTTCCAAAGCTTGCTGAGGGTGGTTTCCAGTCTTTCATTTTCCTATGGCTGTGGCCCTTCAGGGAATACCAAGGCAAGACTCGTCAAGAATACAGAAGGGGACTGACACTTCTTTGAGGAATGTTCATCCTTCTCTCCTCTTGTGTTTTCCTTGATGCCTTGGCTGATTTTAGTGTCAGTCTCCCTGGAATCCTTTTGTTATCCTGAAGACAAAGATCTCTGTCAAGAGATTGCAATCCATTAACTTCCATGTGTTCCATCTATCTTTCTTGTGGACTTTTGGTCAGCAGAGCATTAGATACTGTCCTGTGCAGCAGTAGCTTTCCAACAGAGGCTTACTTGTGCACATGAGGACAAGAGATTCTATATGTGAGCAGCCTGAGTAGCTGCTTGCTCTATTTTCTGTCTTGGTGCCAGCTGTTCCACGCTGTTTTGTTTTCGAGAACAGATTTGGGCTTTCTCTGAGCCCAGGAAGGTGCGTCTGTCAGACGCTCCTGCTTACCACCTCTTGGCTCGTTGGAGAGTTGCAGAATACAGTATAGGCTTCTGTTCTTTTTTCCGCCTACGAGAGACTTTACCATTGTCCTGCTGCTTTGGCTAAGTACTCCTGTGAGCCTGGGGAAACCAGCATTCGGTATCTTCTGTGCACAGAAATGGCATTTTGGTGGTTGTTTACCTGTAACTAAAAAAAGTTAATACAAGGCTGGCTGTCACTGTCGGTCAACCCCATGCTCTGTTCTCTAAGGTGGTCTCCGTTAGAGTTCATGCTGTTTTCGTTCCTAGTGTGCTTTGGGGCTTCAGTCACCCTATGTATTTCCCAGTTTCTTTCCCAAGTCGTATTCCAAATTGAGTAAAACAGAACTGCAGATATAGTGGGATACTTTGAGTAAACATAAATATCTATGATCTGTCAGCAAGTGAGCTTGAGGTCTGTAGGCAAACCCAAGCTGCCTTTAAACTGGATGTTATGCACGGAATTCAAAGTAATCTATTTTACGTACAAATCTTGATATCTTGGTTGGGTTGATGGTGTTACACCCTTTGTTGCCACGATATGGTACTATCCAAGCCAACTGGAGAACCAGTTCAGTTTCCATCTGCTTAGACTTCAGAGTTGTTCTGTTGTCACTCCTCTCTTGTCTGTCTTTTAGATACTTGTTTGCTAGCTGAGTAGTGAGTGAGCATGCAATGAAGAAAGCAAGCATGCTTTTCCATTCATAATAGTGGCTCTTTAGAGATACTCTCCACTGGGATTCAGTGATCTAGCTTTTGTCCTTCAATTGACATTCTGTTCGTGGGCTTTTGCCTTGGGGATGGATCTCAATGTTGATGAGACCACCACTTTACTCTCTGCTTGTCGTGGTGGTGACCAGTTCAGGAGGTGCCTTCTAAGCAGGGCAACAACAGCTTTTCATAAACAGGCTATTTGTACATGCATGTGTAACCAAGTATAACTAATTTTGGGCCACCCATTTTGATAAGCCAGTTTTAACGATTCTTGTTCTTACAAGTTCTTCATTAAGCTGTTTCAGCCTGCTTCTTGTAGAAATTCAGTAATTTTAGAAGATGCAAGCAAGAGTATCAGGTTACAGGTGGCACACAGGTTTATATAGCGTTGGAATAGCGTTAATAACGTTGAAGCATTGGAGGGACTTGTAATGGAATTATTTTTAAATACCATTCAGAAATGTTTTGATACGCTTACTTTTGGGTCTGGTCTGATCTGCAGGTTGGTGATTCATTAGAATTTGGATGGGTAGCATTTCACAGCTTTCTATCAGTGGAGGCTTTGTCCAGACCCAGTTTCAGACTAGGTCTGGATCCAGCTCCTTCAAACAGAGGAAGTCTTATTTTTTGTTGTATGTTTAAAGGTTATGCTGTGGTAATCCACTAGGTGGTAGGCATTAAACATCCTCTAGATAAACATACTGCAGTGAAATTTTAATAAGCTTTTAAAAATATATGAAGATGTAATGAGATGCTACTAGCTGTATTAAATCAATTTTGTTCTTTAGATTAACTGTCATGATCCTCTGTTGTGTGAGAAGGTGGAAGGTAGAAGATCAAAATACTTCTGCCAAGCAGGGAAGCAAAAACAAGCTTGAAGCACAAACAAGCTTGAACCAAAAACCAGTGATAACCTCTGCTGTTTCATAGAGCTGAAGAGGAGATGTGGTGCTGTCCTTGAGAAACAAGTACTTTCCAGAGTTTCTCAGAAGAACAGGAGCTTGGGAGCTAATACCTATCTGACTGAGGCTCTGCATTGCAAAGCCACCGCATTACACATCTCTTGACTTTTTATATTTTATACTTTCCAGTGAGAACTGTTACTGGCCTGAACTACAGGCAAACTAGAGCAGCTTCAGTCACAGTTGAGTCCAGCTTACAGTTGGGTTCAACTGCCTGCTTTCCAAGTAGTAATGTTGCATTGGTTAAGAGGAAAGCTGAGAGTGGTCGTGTATATATATATGTATATATATATATTACACATACATATACAAGTTACTCTAAAGCAATCTACGATGTGAGCTGAACAGTTGTCAGCTTTTCCAGAGTAACTGTCCATAAGCGTGTACGCGCTATGCCCCATGGTTATTGTGTAGTACCTTGTTCCTCTCCCTTTGAATTATCGCACAGTAAGTGACTAGGATGAGTGCATGTGGGCCACTGAGCAGTTGTTTTCATGTGGTAACTTGTTACCCTTCTGGAGCCTGTTTCCATATCCATGTGCTAATAACATTGCTAATGTTTTAAGGAGGTATGTTTATAGTATGAAAAATAAATGGGAAGAGATAAGGCTTAACTTACAGTATTCTTTCCTTGAGTACAATCTTGATAGAATACATGGAGATACTGAGGTGAGTAGTTCTATTATTTTTATAAACAGGGCATGATATTGGATGTGAAACTGTTCACAAGTACATTTCTCGATTCTGTTACCCACTTCTAGCTGCTGTTTAAACAGGCTGAAATTACCTTCCCTTCTTCCCCTCCTCCCCCCTAGACTATCCCATTTGAACCTGGCTTCCCTTTCCTTGCCATTTTTTATCCTGGTGAAGCTGGTATATTAAAGTCCAGCTGTTCAAAAAAGAATGTGAAAAAACTTGTGTTGTGCACTTGGCTGTTTTAAATAGCCTCTATAAATTTAGTTCCTTCTATTTGCTTATAGACAAGCATATTTATACATAGCTCATGTCATCTGGCTCAGATGGAAAATGCTACTTGAAGCAATCTATTCTACTGAACAAGTGGTGTTCGTTATATTAACATTTGTTATGAAATTAGTTTTATAATTTTATATCATACTATTTTAATGGTTTTTCATGATCACTGTGTTTTAGTTGTTTGTGATGATACACACTTAATGCAAGGAGACTCTTAAGTTTTTGGCCCTGAGTTGAAATCTTGCTATGGTGCATCTGTAGAATTGGGGCTGAACTGTGGTATGATGTGCAGTTCTGCAAAACTGGTCTAGCTTGCTTCCTCACCCCAGAAGTCCTCAGCAAGGTGGTCAGAGCTGCCATGTTTTGGTCTGGGTTGATAGCGTGTGGCAGTCTGTTTTGTTTTACTTTGTGTTATGTTTGGTTGCTCTTAGGACTTCTTGGTGTTTCAAGTGTCTGAAAGACTCCTGACAAGTGACTTGAGTTCTGTGTCAAGTTGCTTTTTCAATAGTGCTGTGTTGGCTTTTGAGTCTGTAGGAGGTCTCCAAATTTCGCTGACACTGGCTAAGACAAAAACCTCTCTTGTGAAGGAAAAATGGGTGTTTTGGTGTTTTTCTTCATGACCTAGCTATTTCTTGGGAAGGCTTCTGATATTTTAACTCGAATATTCTGGAATCTGAGAGAAGAAAAAGTGAAACGCTACATCTAAACAAACTGTCTGTAGATTTTTCTCAAGGTTTCTTTAGCCATCTTCTGGTAGGGAGTAATACAGACAAGTTAAATGAGGTAACCCATCTTTTTTAGGATGGATTTTGAGAGCTGAAGGATGCAGTTTGGCACAAAAGCACAGGTTCATCCAGTCAAATGCCATTCTTTAAGGAGAGTTTTATCTTTGGAACTGCAGCAGATTGCCTACAGACATCAGTGGAGCTCTCAAACACTTTTTCGTCATGGGACTTCCTAGCCAGATGCAAAGAAGGCTGCTTACTGTCAGGATATATTAACAGACGGTTGAACTGATACATCCTCCCCCCATCCCGTTTTTTTTTTCCAGTTCCTTTGACAAGCTGTACTTTCTTTAAAAATGCTTTTGTTTGTCCTGAGCTTTTACCTCAGTGCTGTTCCCTGATGTATAATACTTTGATTTGTTTTCCGATATAAGTCAAAAGGAGATGAAGCACAGGGTTTATATACTTCCAGAATACTTGACTTTTAGACAGGTAGAAGTTTCCAGACTCAAAAACTCATTTCAGAAGGCCTTGGAAGTGTCAGACATGTGGGTAACTGCACTTCCATCTAGGAATGAGTGGGTGTGATGGTGATGGGTTGGAAGTGATTGGAAGTGGTTGGAAGTTTTAAGTGATTTATCAGTCCAGAAGCATTCCTTGGGTGTCTGGTTGCCCACCTTGTTTCTCAATGACAAGTTCACTTTGTTTTCTGCAGTTGAACATTTCTATAAGGAGCACTGTAAATTGACTCCTTTTTTCCTCTTTATGCTGAGGAGCATAACTTAAAAATCCAGTCTGTAGAGAAGAAGAATCTAGAATAGAAATGATTGCAACAAGCATAATGGCTTATAAGTAATGTCTTTTCCTTCCTTGTTTTGAATGGAAAATTACTCTGTGGTGTGAGATCACTTCTTGCATTGCATTGTGTGGTAACCTAGTGCCAGTAGATCTGAGAGGAAAGTGAACTGGAATAAGTAGTTTACTGGATGCAGAAAGAGGTTTTGAGGTAGAAATAAATTCATGCCAGCAGGTAATGCTAACTCTTTCTGTGTTAAATGTATTGATTTTTATATACAGTACACTGTCACAAAGTTCTTCTGACTTGCAAACTTGCTGTTTTTTGTTTGCTTCAATTGGCGCATAGGAGCTGTGCACTACTCTGGAGGTGGTGTACGGTCAAGTTCGTGAAGAGGATGAGTCTGAGGAGGTATTTCAGCAGTTCTTTAAGTGGAAGCATGCTAGAACAGAGGAATTCATTCATATCAGAAATGATACAAATGCTGCTCTGCAAATTCTCGCTGACTGGTTCAGTGGCATCATAAAGGTAAGGCAAGCGGTCCCTGTCAGTCAAAAAGATGAAGCGTGGCACTGTGTCAAACTGAACTCTGCCCCTGTGGACATTAATGGGACAGCTACCTACAGCAGTGAGATTGCACATGCCAACAGTGGCACCAAGTTGTAGTGCCTCAGTACAAAGCAAAGTGTATGTGTTGAGGGAACGGACTGCTAATTTAACTCTGTTTACTATGTTTAACTCTATGTTTACTCTATGTTGACTTGGCACCACCCCACTGCAAAGTAAGTTCTCTGCTTTTACGTGGTGGTGGTGGGGAATGTTCTGTATAAAGATCAGTGTTTTTATGTAAGTGTTGTACAAGTATGCTCTCCGTTCACGATGCAATTGAAACACTGCAATTAGTTCTTTAAAGTAGCCTTTGGATGGAGAGCATTTACCTTTTAAAAGGTGCTAGTTCAGAAATGCTCTGAAAGAGTTAATGAAAGGTCATTGCAAATGAGGACTTAACATGCTTGGAAAAGCCCGTCTGACCTGAAATAATCTAGCTACAGATCACAGGCTTTTTTTTTTTGTTTGTTTTGTTTTCCATCCCCTTCTTTGAAGTGCTGAGTGTAGAAAATTTATGCAAATCAAGTTATTCACTTTTATTTGCATGTCCTGCAGTATTTGATGCTGAAATACTGTTCTGATGCACTGTCCCTTTTGATCTAAGTCGTAAGAGGTTTGGAGCATTGAAATGAAGGGATATGTATGTATGTGTGTATTTGTTTTAAAAGAGGATTGACAGTGGAAGTAGATGTCATCAATTGTGTTCCCTTTGTTTATAAAGAAAGGGCAAAGTGGGGAAATGACTTCTTGATTCTCTTTGTCCCTGTGCTTATTGTTGTTGTTCTTGCTCAGTTTAGGACTCTTAATCTTCTGAGGAAGACTGTAAACTGCTCTCCTGTTACTCCTGCTGGCCCCGCTTTCCTGATCTCCTTCCTGTTGGTCTCCTATGTGTAAATATTCTCAGACTGCATGAGAAGAACCTTTCTGCCCATGTGACTTGTGCATAGTCTGCAAGGGTCCTGCCGTTCTGTCCATAGTGAATAAATTGTTTCTGCCCTTGTACTCAGAGCATTTACTGTGGCTGGATGCTCTTTGTACTCAGAGCGTTTACTGTGGCTGGGTGCTGTTATGAATGGCTGTATTTCTTGACCTGATGATAAATGCTACTCGGCAACGGTGCAAACTTGGTGTATGTTGTGTGTGGGACACACGCAGTGTGGAACAGTGTTATTTAATGTAATTACTTGAAGATGTTTAGAACCATGTCAGTTGTTAGATTGGGAAAAAGCCATGCAGGTGGTGTGTGTGCTGTGTGCAATTCGGAGTGGCGTTTTGCATGTATGAAAAAATAGGTTAAATTTGTTGGTGTTTTTGACTCGTTTACCTCTTTCAAGTTTGAACTCTTCTACAAACAGTTCAGAGGGAAAAGACTGCCAGACTTTTAGCGCTGGTTGGTAAGGGACTGGTGGGTAGATCAAGGAAGAAATTTTAAGTTATCTGGTCTTACCAATTTCAGCATTTGATACACAATTATTGCATTGCAGCTAATCTAACTTGTAGCTCCTGTCTTAAGGAAAACAGTGTACAATTGTAGCTCCTGTTTTAAGCAAAGCTGTGAACAACTGAGCAGAAGAAACACTTCTTCAGTTTTAAAGTTATTTTAAACAGATACTACTCTTTCTCTCTGTATTTCTGAATCCAAATTAATCTACCGTAGCAGCCATCAAAATCTACAGTAGAATTGCATCAGTGCCAGACAGGAAAATATCTTTACTTTCACAGATTGGATAGCTCCTTTTCAGTGTGTAACCTGAAACTTTGGGGACCAATATACTTTTCAAACTGGCACTGTCAAAGTGGTTTTTTTTTTTTTTTAAGTTCCTTTAAAATGAAACAATAGCATATTTTCAGTCTTAACTGTAGTGGAATGCATGTGCTTGGTAAGTTAATAAATGAGGTGGAATTTGCAGGTGTCTGTTATGGCTGTGCATGTTGCATGTCAATTTTGGGACCGTATTCTCATTACGTTTCTTGTTGCCTGCATAATATCTCCTCTGCAAGTAAGAGTAACAGAATTCTGCCAGAAATGTCAGGCTTTACCTCTGACAATGTAACTAATAAGCTGATGCTATCTATTCATTCTCTCTGGCATTTTTGGTATCTTATGCAGAGAGGAATAGTCGAACTGGCTCCTAGGAGTAGAGTTTTCTTTCAGTATATTTAAGTTTAAAGAACACAGTGGACTAGTCCGCTATAAAGTATTTCTGATGTGGTCTCCAAAATGCTCCTTAGTTTTAGTAGTACAGATGTTCTATTTCAGAATTATGCGCAAGAAGCTACTTTATTTTTGACTTCTGTGAAAACACTTAGGGTTTCCAAGGTGAAATCTTCAAGTTTATTTCCCCCTCCCCCTTATTGGTCGGTTGATCAACTGTAAAATAGATCCCCAAATGTCTGTTTGCCTCAATATTATATAAGAGGAAATGGTAGGTGCAGAAACTTTAATAGCCATTAAAAAGCACTTCAGTCTAATTGTTTACCTGAGTAGATTTGATCTGGAGACTTTTGGAACAGTTGCTTTGAACAGTTACCTTGAATTTGCTCTTTTGTCTTTCTAATTGTAGACCAAATTTAGAATTTTCATATAGTAATCTTAGACAAACATGTTGAAGAAGGCATTGTATTCCCATGATGATAGTTAATGAGTGCAGCTGAGCTCTGTATATTTCTCCAATACAAATGATACCTATAATCCGATCTCTTCTAGTTAGAGTTGAAAACAATGAAAGGTGTGGATAAAATAATGCATTAGCTCTCCATGTGGCAGTTTGAAGTGGAGCACTCCACTGAGCACATGCATTTTTGGGTCACAGGCATGCATCTTGCATTGAAGCATGAGGTTGAAATGAGTTCTTTCAGTATGAAGCTGAGAAGAGTTTTTTGTTTGCTGACCTATTTGAAAATAATAATACAGCTGGAGCACTTAACGTTTTCGAAGTAGTATGTACTACTGTGGGAATATATCTTCTCCTGTGCTATGTTGTGTATAGGGAGTTAGTGATGATTAATCTTTAACGTTGCCTGGCCTCTATTCAGTTTTGACGGAAGAGCTGTAAATAGCTTACAAGCGTTGCTGGTATGGTCAAATGCTTTCTTTGCAGATAAAGCCTTCAATACTTGTGCAGAAGCAAAGATACAGGGAGGGCGTTGGTTTAGTTCAAGTCTGTTCTCTTAACAAGCCAAACACGTTAAAACAGTAATGAAAAGCCTTCTCAGTGATGAAACTACCGTGTCAAGCCTTGGTGTGGGCATCTTTTGTTTCCCTGTGTGGGCAGCACAATGTTAATTTTTACATTAGACTCAACGAGAGATGGATTGGGATTCCTCTGCTGTTTCATTTTTTGCTAAAAATGAAAGTGAAATTAGGAAAATAAAACCTGATCAAGGTAATTCTTATCTTGCTTTTGCCTGATGAATTTTAGTGCTGTTCTGAAAATTGTTATATGGCATAAGTGTCAGGTAGCTAAAAGTGATAATTGATGCGAATCCTGATTAGACCTTTGGTAGTGCTCACTCTACCTTTGTATTTCTTGCCTGTTTTTTTGCTATCCTATCTGCTTGTTAACTTTAACTTACAATTGCAATGCTGTTTTCCCCCTTCCCCAAAGTGTTTTGACCTGATGTCAGAAGCATCTTTGAATTTAGAGGAAGTGATTGGCAATGTGGATGAATTTCTAAAAAAGGTTGAATTGGATATTCGTAAAGAACTGGAGACTGACTTAGCTGTAAGTACTGATCTTTCCTATTGACTGCTATGTGTTTAATGCATCTTTGGTTTCAGTTTAAAGCTTTTCGTAAAATACCAGGTAAGTTTGTTCATTATGAGGCAGTATTCTGTTTTGTGGAAGTGTGATATAAAGTAACTCGAGTTGTTTGCCAGAAAGGGAAAATTTTTCAGGTAATAGTCACAGGTCAGCTTTTGGTTATAGGAGCTTATCTCTGTGACTGACTTAGTTAAGAAATACTGGTGAAACTGGTTGATGTGTGCAGAGAAACTTTCTTTGGGCTGTTCTGAGTTTCAGTGCGTGTATTGAAAATGTACATGATGAAAAGTAAATGTAATCTTTAAAATAATGGAATTGCATCTGTGTGAATAGTGAGGACTATATTTGCTTTTTTCGTCTTAAGAGATGGATAGTTTGCATCACCTTCTTTTTGCTTCGAATAAATGTTCTTGTCTTACTGGGAATTTTTTTTCTAATGCTAACCTTCTCTCTAGTTGTTTACCTTTTCTGAAAAGCATTTCTTCCATTCTCTTTTGCCGATTCATTGAGGTACGTGCCTTCTCTCTACAGTGAGAATGTCTACTGTGCCAACATTTCTTCCATTCTCTTTTGCCGATTCTTTGAGGTACATGCCTTCTCTCTACAGTGAGAGCGTCTACTGTGCCAGAACAGTCACATCAAGTTGAATATATCCTCTCATAATGCAACATCATAATAATGCAACATCATACTAACAGTAAATCACCAATTCAGTCTGTGCTTGTGACTGCTGTCCGCAATAAAATTGGTGACTTTCTTTTAGAAGAAGAGTTGCATGTTTGATGTCTTTTTATCTATTTACACATGCGGTCCTTAAATTCACAGAATCGTTTAGGTTGGAAGGGACCTCTGGAGATCATCTAGTCCAACCTCCCTGCTCAAGCAGGGACCTCTAGGTTGCCCAGGATCACATCCAGAAGGGTTTTGAATATCTCCAGCGAAGGAGACTCCACTACCTCTCTGGGCAATCTGTTCCCAGGAAAGAAGTTCTTCCTCAGGTTCAGATGGAACTTCCTGTGGTTCAGTTTCTGCCCGTTGCCTCTTGTCCTGTTGCTGGGCACCCCAGAGAAGAGACTGGCCTCATCCTCTTGACACCCCCCCCTTCCCCTTCAGATACTTGTAGACATTGATGAGATCGCTGGGCAACCTGTTCCAATGCTCTGTCACCCTCACAGGAAAGAAGTTCTTCCTCAGGTTCAGATGGAACTTCCTGTGGTTCAGTTTGTGCCCGTTGCCTCTTGTCCTGTTGCTGGGCACCCCAGAGAAGAGACTGGCCTCATCCTCTCGATAGCCCCCCCCCCCCTTCAGATACTTGTAGACATTGATGAGATCGCCTCTTAGTCTTCTCTTCTCCAGGCTGAACAGGCCCAGCTCTCGCAGCCTTTCCTCATAGGAGAGATGCTCCAGTCCCCTCATCATCTTGGTAGCCCTCTGCTGGACTCCCTCCAGCAGTGCCATGTCTCTCCTGTACTGGGGAGCCCAGAACTGGACACAGCACTGCAGGTGAGGCCTCCCCAGGGCTGAGGAGAG